AGCATGTCAGTGTTCTGTAATTCATGCAAAAATGCAGAACAAAATGCTTTAAAACATAGGATTTTAGGAAAACACAATGGATAAAAGGGAAAGAATATGGAATGCTAAAAATGAGTTGAAAAAATGAAACCTATCAATAATAATAATAATAATAATGAAATATTAAAACAAGGACAAAAATAGCACCCAAAGGTCATCGTCCAACTTAAGGTTTTGGAGAAAGAAAACGTAAAAATGTCACCTGTCAAATTAAAAAAGTCGTAGTGTCGAATGTTTTAAAAGTATTTCAGTGTCTTTACGGTTTGTATTGATAGTATAGTATGCCATGAAAAATGGGTCAAATATCATAGTTTATTATGTTATAATAAATTCATAGTATTGTATTTAATTTAAATTAAAAAAGAAACCATATTATATTATGCTATAAAGACATCTCATAATTTAGTATGACATACCAAATGGCATTTTAAAAAGTAAAAGTGTCCCATAAAACGTAAAATGGTAAGGTAAGATGAGCCATTATTTTAATTATGTTGACCTCTAGGCAAGGACAAACGAGATAAAAGTCAAGTGACAACAACAACAACCTTTACTTCAGGATGTCTTCTGTCAATCAAAATGAAATTAATGCAAATATCACAAAAGGTCATGAAAATATGATTTCTTAAAAAAAGTGGTCTTGTGGCTTAACTTGCCCAATCTGAGGGGTAAATTGAGTTAAATTAAGCCATCTGGGGGTACATTTACCTATTGACTTTTTCAAGTTTAAACCTGAGCTGTTTACCATGGAACTGGTCAGCCAGTTTTTGGTCTGCAAGCTCCTTCTCTCTCCTGTGTGAAGACCCTCTTTGCCTCTGCTGGTCCACTGTACCTACTGTTTTCCTTTCCTTTTCCTCCTTACTTTTCACGTATCTACGCAGGGTTGTCAATATTTCGGTCTTTTGCAGCTGCTCTGATGGATTTTCCACCGTTGACATCAGTGGCCACTCTCTCCATCTCCTCTGTCTGTCTCTTGTTGAACCACTGGCTCTATTTAGCCCATTGACCGTGTGCTTCTTTCCATCACAGCCAAATAGAAATGTTGGGTTCTTCCTGAATTTATGGTCACATGACAACAAATGTGCACAGTTCCCTAGATAAAGGGGGTGGGTCAATGTACCACTGGCTCATCTTACCCCACTCTCCCCATTGGTATTTAAAAAAAGGAAGCAATTAGCGGCTCGTTACTGGCAAACAAGTTATTTCCCAAAGTGTTCTGTTCAACAATGGGCCTTATTGTGCACTACTACCTCCTTTGCTACATCACTAAAGCAAATATTTTGTTTTCTGTAGATCAACTCGTCAGAAGTGGATGTGGTTTATGCTAATCAAGCCTTTCTGGAAATGAAAGAAGTAGATGGGGAAGAACCTCTCCATTACGTCAATGTGGACTCTGCTAAACTGCAGGAGATTACAGGCCTGGACTCAGAGACGGCTGAGTATGCTGAGATCCAATCGATCTAAGGAGATGCAGAGGAAGAAGATAACATTGCTGACACTCAATTGGGACAAGAGAAGACACCTTAGTCTCATAGACCTTGTGCTGAAGATATTATGGCTGACGTTTAATGGAAATGGTAGCTTAAACACAGCAATGTGCGCCTCAAACTGCTACAGGACTTATCCATAGCAGATCCCCGCTGTGGTAAAAAGAAAACTGCAGCAGCGGTGATAGAAACTGCTCTGCAGGCAGCTTATGTAAATGCTTCAAGTTTAGTTCTGGACTTTTGTTACAGTACATATTTTTTTTGTGTCCATAAGATGCATAGCAAAACAAAATCACCATAAAATGAATACATACTGTATAGCAGGTAGTTACCCAACAATCAATTATAACAATACGTTTTTGCTTTGAAATCATGACCTTACTATATTTAATATTTGAATGCTATCTTGCATCATGATTTTACATTTAAAGCCTTTGCAAAGCGTGAAAGAAGCAGCTGGACATAGTTTGTCAAACTTTTTTTATAGATTTATTTTTCAAAATACAAAAACTTTCAGTTTGTTGGCAGTTATACAAATTGTGAAAAGATTTTATAAAGCTTGTAATGAAATAGAGCAATATGTATTTGGCACATTGTTTGAACATGTTTATTTCAGAAACAAGCCTCTTCTGCACAATATTTCAACATTAAAGCCCTCGTTGTAAATGTCAATACTTTTTTTTAAATAATGTATATTATAATGGAAACACAGTGAGACACGGGGAGAGCTGGAACTTGATGGCAAACACTGATGGTTTATTATGAAGTTACGGCCGGAGAATTGACAAGACATGTGCTGCAGCAAGAAGTTGATACAGCGGTTGCCCGACCAATTCTGAAGATCTCTACCCCAAACCCATTTATCTGGTTCTGAGAGAATAATCAACATTCTGCATAACAAGTTAAAACAGGCAAAGCATTATAACATCTCTATCAGCTGACGCCAACAGGCAGGAACAGGGAAACAAAACACTGAGAGCACAGCAGCCCTAAGTTGCAGGCCTGTGCTCAGAGAGGGCAGTAGCATACAAACTGATAAACTGGGTCAAAGGGGTGGGCTTGGAAAATATTTCCCCAACATACATCTTCCAATGCATACTTTTATTTCACAACTCAGAAGTTTAGAAGTTGGATTAAGCTCACCATTTTGGTATTTACTGATAGCCTACTGATCAAAGGAGAGAAGCAGTGAAACATATTGAAATACAAACTGTATTTAACAATTGGCTGAACCTGTAAGGCAGGATAAGATAATGTAAACTCAGATTTTGATGTGAGAGTTCTGGGTCTCCTCTTCATCAGAGCTGCTCAATTCTCTGGCGGCTCTCTGAGTCTTTGCCTTGAAGTTCACCTGTGAATAATTTATCTCTAATTCATCCTCACTGGTGTCTGTGTTATCGTTCAATGGATTCAGAGATACGGCTGAGTGTGTTGTGCTGATGTTCTCACAGTCCTCCAGCCTCTTTTCATTCTAGAAGAAAACACAGATATAGTCTAGCGTGATACAAGGAGGTGCACTGGCTCCAGATGTTGAACAGATGTGTACGAACGCAGTGGGGGAAACTGTTACTTGATGCTTGAGTGGCGGCTGAGGTTCAACGCTGAACCAGCTGCAAGCCTTCAGCAGTTTAACACATCAGCCTGCAGCTGGGAGTCTGTTACTGCCAGGTTTCTCTTTGAGCCTGAGCTCCCCCTGCTGGTCTGAGCGAAGCATTACAGCACAGGTGTACACTAAAACTACAACAGGGTGTGAACACAATACTAGCAGCACCTGTCGATATAATGCGATCTAATATAACAATGCAACCATTTTATTAGACTGTGTGCTGGGTCACTATTTCTGTCTAGTCTTGGATTGTTTTATATGGTCAGGTGTTTCCTCAAATATGTCCATATGCTGTATATTTGTTTTCAGAAATTACATTTTTATGAATTAAGTTATTTGGAAGTGTATATGGGTTTGATATGCAAACAAATGAAGGCATGCACTGTTATGAATGCACTATTAAATGTTTATTCATAAAAATGTTGGTCTTTTTTTCAATCAACATCTGTGTTGCCAACTTAATAATAACAATGGCACACAAATATATTCTGATCATGGAGTCTTTGATTAATATTTAGCTATTTTGCAATGTGCTGTTTAGCCTCTTGCACACACAGTAGGTTGTAAATAGTTGCATAATGTCCAGTCGTCCCTATTTTTAGTTATGGTTATTGTCGTCTCAAGATATGCGTCTGTTTTATCAATATTTTCACAATTACTAGTCATTGGTCCTGTGTCGTGTGCCTTATATTTGTATATCCTTGTTATTATACTCCTACAGGAGTATTTGTTGTAGAACTTTACATAACATTTCACAAAACACTGTTATTTTCTATATTTATTTATTTCCAACAAATATGTGAGCGAGCTTGCATCAAATCATGCACACACACTCCTACATCCCTGACACCTGCGTAACTTATTACCTGTTTTTTTTGTAAAGTATTTTAACAATATCCACTATTTACTTGCAGTGCAGTGTGCACAGCAACACCATTTAAGTAATAAGCTGGTAGATAAATGTCTTTATTGACGCAGAACACAATTTCCTTCCTGTTAGTGAGTTGGTGCTTAAGATGATCTTCACTAAGATGTCGTTTTTACATGATCAAGAACAAACCAGATACAATGTAATTATGTATTTAGTTGTGATATATATATTTATTTGCACCTATCGTGGCACCTTTAGAGCGAATGTCCTGCTCTTTTGACATGCTTACTGTAACAGATAAGAATCTGTCTGTATAAGGCTTTGACCTCATGTCTCAGACATTTAACCACATCTGTCTTTCTTACAGCCAACTCAACTGACATCAGTGCTGTTTGAAAATCAGCATTTACTTTCTTGGTGTGATTCAATGTTTGTAGAAAACAAACACCAAATATCTGTGTTTTAAGAATCAAACTGGTTCACTTTTCCTTCATCGTGTTCATCTCTGCGTAGCTCCTAAATGTGGCTGCTGAGGAAAGTTCAGAAATAGTTTCTGCTTGTTCAAAAACATCACACACAATGCCCACTGGCAACTAGTTTGGTAAAGCCTTTATACTTCACTTTGTTTTCACTTATATTTACTTCAACTTGACTGTTTCATTTGACACTTTATGACTTCTACTGTTTGCGCACGTAAAGTATCACATTGTTGTTTCTTCCCTCTTTCTGCATTGCCTTTCATTTTGTTTCTCTTCACTTCCTCTTTGTTTCAAATTGACAAAATGATCTGATGAAACAGTTGAGTACTTGAGTGTGGAAACAAAAGTCATATTTGATATTTTTCTGTTTATTGAATATGTAAATCAACAACTCACTTTTGAAAACACATTTATATTTCATTATAACATTCTGGTTTGGAACATTGTTCTGTGAATCCCTTAGGAAATGACTGATGGGACTTGCATTAATGTAGTAAAAAGATTCAAAACTCTATTGTGCTGAAGTCCACACCCCGGACACATCTTTCAAAAGCCATCAACACGCGACACCAGTCTGACATGACTCAGTTGTTGGACTATTACCACTGACCCTTCCATGCTGGTGAAACCTTTATTTGTTTCTTTATACATTTCTGAAACATAAATCAGTACTGTATATACTACTACTACTAATGTATTTATTTCTTCTCTAGAAACAGAAAATATCGTATGCTGACCATCATTGTTGGCTGTAAGGTAAGATAATTGTTTTTTAAAACTCAAATGATTGTAAGTCATAAAATGTCAGGCTTTTTTTATTAGTTAATTCAGTCATTTTGTTACATATATATATATATATATATGTATGTTGTTTGTTAGTGGTAAGAATAATTTACATACCTTTAAAGACATTTTGTAATTTTGTTTTATTACTTTCTACATATTACACATTATATATATTATTGCTTTCTGTTTGTAAGAATAATGTGCATACCTTTACAGAATTTCTATCAAAACAAATGCAAAACATTTTAAATAGTTATCATTAGTTAACATCTTCATGCTACTGTAGCTCCCTTATGTTATCTTTGAAAGGACGACATTATTTCCTCTTTTTAGTAATGAAACCAGTAACAGTAAGAGTACATTGCAATACAAGTTAAAGCAATAGTTTAAAAGTATTACTTTTATTTTTAACTAATACTTTTCAGTAGTATTCATTATGTTTTTTAAATAAGCAGCACTGCTTCTCTACTGTGTGGAGCTTGATATTACTCAAACTGGGTTATTCTTTCAGCAACACATATCAAACATCACATTTGATCATATTTACTTTGTGAAGTATGAAGTGAAGTTAATATAATTCCCCCCTATAAAATATGTATTCTTCTTTACTAGGGCTATTCATATTGTAGTAGGTAACTAGTAAATACAAATGAATAGATTTTGTGTCTGCTGTGTGTGTGTGTGGTGCCTCTGTAGGAATATCAAGCTGACAGAAAAGCATGACGGGTGCTTTAAAGGTTGTCCTCCTTCTACTTCAAGGTAGGGTTTCCAACAATTTTAAAAAAAATAGTGCAAAAAAAAAAATAGTGCAAAATATGCTTTTTTGTTTAATTTAACGTTTTGTGTGTGTGTGCTGTTTATTTGGACGGGTTTGTTTTCTTTTAATTATGACAGTTTACATTTCTGCTTAATTTTCTTCTTTTTTTTCAAGATAAGCTACAGTGTAGAAATGGCAATGAAAATCTTACGACCCGAGCTCCTCCAACGATGCAACATATATAATAACATACAATATAAAAAATAGTGCAAGAAGTCTATATACTGTACATGTAAATAGAATGTGATATAAGAACAGAATATGAAATTAAATAATGTACATTAAGACGAAGTTAAATACGGTTTATTGCGGTGATAACTATTTAGATAAATAAGTAGATTGCAAGATGACAAACAGATGAATGTTTATCGAGGCACTTAACAGAGCTCAGGTGTTTAGTCTCATGGCCTGTGGGATAAAACTGTCCCTCAGTCTGGTAGTTGTTTGAATACTTATTTATTTTTTAACCTTGACGGATATTTAATTTATTGCTTTTATTTCACCTCAGGTAGCTTATGCTTGACGTGGGAAATCACCATGCCTCTGAGAATAGATGGACTAACGGGATCCTGTGTGAAGGTCCCCTGCACTTTCAACTTCGACTCAACGTACGATGTAAATCTGGATAATTCCTGCAAAGCAATTTGGAAAAGAGGAAGCATGGCCGGAACAATTGTGTTTGATTCCAGCCTCACTGGAGATCAGGCAAGCGGAAACATTCTGCAAGGAAACCTCACAGGGAACCTGCAGAACAAGGAGTGCACCACCATCTTCTACAACATGCCACCGTCCCATTCTGACAACTACTACTTCAGGATTCAGTGTAATAACGGGCTGAAGTACACCTATTCAACAGGAGTCCGTATCACCACTCAAAGTTTGTATTATGTCTTTACTTTTTTTCACTTTACATATCTTTTGGTTTCCCTCTTGTCATGTACTTGTTTTTTTTACTCCTTAGATTCACTGGACCAACCTACCATAACTCCATCTACACTGGAGGTAGAGGAGGGGGCTCTGGTGACGTTGAACTGCACGGCTGTAGCTCCGTGTCCCATCCTTCCCCCAGGTCTGACTTGGACCCCCAGGATAGGTGACATTGAGGAGAAACATGAATCTGAATCCATGGTCTCAGTTATGAACTTCACCTCTTCTTACCTCCACAATGGACAGAACTTTTCGTGCACCGCTCTCTACAAACGACAAGCTGGCAACACCGACCTTCGGTTGGAAAAGTTTATGACCCTCCATGTTCTTTGTGAGTATGTTTCAGGCCTTTTCTTGTTGCTGAGTAGGATGTTGATTTAGTTCACATTTAATCATTCCCTTCATTTGATATAATGTGATGTTATGAAATGTTCCTCTGGGGACTCTGCAGAGTATTTGGATCAAGTTGTGTTAACTAAAACTGCAGACTTGATTATCTAGTGGGAAAAAAAGAGGACACTAAACCAAATTCAGTTGTGAGCTGACTTGAGTTTATTCTTATTTTTATTATTTAAAGGTCACATATCATGCAAAATGCACTTTTAGATGTCTTTACTACATAAATATGTGTAGACATCACCAAGTGTCAGAAAATACAACCCTCTCTCTTTTCCTCCTTGCACACATCTCTAAAAATAGGGGTACAACGGAGCTGCTTACCGTTATTATGTAATATCGGAAATATGAGCTGGCTTTACTTCCACGGCCCTATCAGAAACGTCGCCGTATCAGAAACAATGCGCAACGTTTTGGAAGTAATATGGTCTGTGTTTACATTAGCAAGCAACAGATTTGAAATCAGCACTTCTCTAATAGGGCTGAAATAGAGGCGTATGAGGCATGGCTAGAATGGGTGATCTGTTTGGTATTTTGAGCAAAACACTTCATAGACATGTTTTTTATATATATGAGACATATAATATAGATGCCTAAAAATAGTATATTAGGAGACCTTTAAAGAAGTTTTTCACATTCTCCCAAAAGTTGGTAAGACCGATTCATGAAGCCATCATAATGCTTTAATATTAACAACCTTGGTAGTGCACACAATAGGGTGTTTTGTACATTGGCATGTAGAATTTCTTTTTGACAAGTGCTATATGAGAAAATTACTTTCACTCTCACATTTTTCAGTGAAATATGTAGCTACAGCCAGAAGCTGGTTAGCGTAGCACAGCACAAAGACTGGCAACAAGTGGGAAAACTAGCCTGGCTCTGTCTAAAGGTAACAAAAACAGCTTACTAGATTCTCAATCATCTCTTCAAGATCCTCCAACTAACACATCAGTCAGCTACTCTGCTACAGCAAAAGAGGGCAGCTTGGTGAATCTGACCTGCAACGGCAATGCCAATCCAGCTGTGTACACTTGGTACAAAGTGAATGGAGGTCAGGTGACCGATGTGGGTTCGGAGAAAAGATTTTCAACCACTGTCTCAGAAGTTGACAGACAATTTTACTGTAAAGTCAGTAACAGATACGGAACCCAGAACTCATCCATCACTCAGATAGACGTACAATGTAAGTCTGATTGAAAAACAGTCAGACAGAGGATAAATATTGACCAGCAAGTTTTAAAAGATATTTATTTTTGTTTTATTTAGTTCCTCCCAAGGAAACTACAATAATCATTCAGCCTAAAGGTCCACTTCTGGAGGGCAGCTCTGTTTCTCTGCTTTGTAAAAGCCGGGCCAACCCACCTGTGACCAACTACACCTGGTACAAAGGTGATGAAGAGGAAAAGGACGCTGGATCAAGTTTGGTTTTAAACAATGTCAAACCAAGCAGCAGTGGTGACTACTACTGTGTAGCAAAAAATGAGCATGGGGACCAAAATTCAACACTGATTCAGCTGGACATTCAGTGTAAGTTGATTTTCACCGTAAAGACATTGATTTACACTGTCAAGTTCAACAGACTGAATATGGCTCTACTGTATATCCAGCTTTGGTCACCAAAACATGGTCTCTGAGGCCAATACTGACAGTAAATATAAGGAAAACACAGACACTCATCACGAGGTCACAATATCAATCGATCCAGCAGAGCAATAGCCTATAGGCAAAACACAGAAGATCAAAAAAAGATATGACATAAAATGAACTTACCAAAGCTGAAGTAGATGGTCAACTTCATTCATTTTCTTTCCGTTTTACTGATTTTAATCGCTATACGCTGCTCTCTCTCGTCTCCTCTTCACAACTACACTTTTCGCGGCACACGTACTTACAGCCAATCAGCTCTAAATTATGAGATGACGTTTTGGTGGGGTTGCCAGCACTTTGCCCCACTTGTGATAATTTTTTTGCCGCACACAATGAATACAAAAAGACTCTGAGCATGCGCAGTGTAGTTTTCACAGTACACGTTCATTTCTACAGCGAGAGAGGGGCAGCCCAGAGCTTGCCCCACATCGCTCAACACGGCAAAAGGCACACTGTGGACACTAATCAGAAGAACACAGACTAAAACAGCAATGTAGAGACGAATCAGACGACTAAACATGATCTTTAAATATATTTTAACATATATTTTATACATATTTTTTATACATATTTTTTTAATTATTATTTTAATTCATTTCTGCTGACAGTATGTGGGGCTGTGCCTAATGCCCTGCCCCTGATGACGAGTCGCCACTGTGTTATATACATTTAATGCATATAATGGCACTGTTCTAGCGGTAAACACTGAAAAAAGAACATGCCAAGCTATGTGCTGTATACATCAGAAACAATGTGTGACATGTTTTGGAAGTAATATGGTCTGTGTTTACATTAGCAAGCATACTCAGAGCTAACACTGTACTGGAGAGATAAAGAAGCCGGATATAAAAGGTACTGTCCTTGAGGTAAACCCGCAAGAGAGAAAGCGTTTGAGCTCCATACTGTTTCAGAAATATTGCCCAATGTAGTTTGAAACATAATATGGCGTTTAATCAAGGCAGCGTTCAGCAGAGTTTCTGCAGTTAGACAGCCTTCTCTTGACAGAGCTCACCGCTTGCATGCAGACGCTCCGAAGGGGCGTGACCAGCAGCTGCTCGGTTATATTTAAAGGGCCAGACCCAGAATCAGCACTTTAGTAACAGGGTTGAAATAGAGGGGTATGAGGCATGCTGCAATGGGTGATCTGTTGGGTATTTTGAGCAAAACTCTAAAGACACATGTTTTGTATAGATATGGCCCTATAATATATTGTTCAAATATTCCATAATAGGTGAGCTTTAAATCATGTGAAGATGTTGTGTTTGGTTTCTTTTCTTTTGTTTTATTATTAAGATGTTATTTCCAAACACAGAGAATGAAGTGGTTGTTGTCTCAGTTTTCTAAAATAGGCAACTCAAAATGTAAATGTGTTTTTACATAGACTGTGATTCCCAAACTGTGATTCTTGTACCATTGGTGGTAAGCAACTCCAACTGGCCTAAATCCTTAACTTAAAACCAAGACATTAGCATGAACTATTAACATCAGCTAAACACTATGCTTTTCAGATCTCCCTAAGAACACCTCGGTGTCTGTTGACCCCTCTGGTCCGGTGCAGGACGGCAGCTCTGTAACTCTGACCTGCACAAGCATCGCCAATCCAGCAGCAGTGAACTTCACCTGGTTCAGAGCGGCTGGAAGAGAGGAGAAGGTGATGGGCTCTGAGAGAGACCTCACCTTCAATGTGACCAAACTCTCAGAAGATCAGTATTACTGTGACGCTCTGAATGTCCACGGACCTGGCACCTCAGAGCGTGTCAGCTTTGACGTCACATGTGAGATTGATACACTTTTTTAATTAAATGCAATCCTTTGTTTCCATTAAACAAAATCAAATCACTTCTTTGTCTCAGTTCCTCCAGAGATCCTGTCTTCTTCCCGTTGCATCAAGATTTCATCCATGATCCGATGTTCCTGCTACAGCCAGGGGAACCCGCCTCCCTCCCTGGTTTGGAAGTTGGCCGGAGAGCCTGTCACTCACTCTGCTGCCATCCCAATCAGGGAAGAGTCCCTGGGGAACGTGGGCATGAAGAGTATCATCACCCTGTACGATCTGGACGAAGACACACTCTCTCTAGTCTGCCTCAGCATCAACTCACTGGGCTCTGACAGTTTTGCGTTTTCGCTTAGCAAAATTGAGCAAGGTAGAGGAATTGCGAGATGGTGAATTTGTATTTGTTTGGTTTTTCTGCATAATCTGCCTCTCTGGTTTTAATGATCAATGTGGTTTGTGGGGACTTTTCAGGCCTCCACGCTTTGTCTTTTGGGATCGGTTTTCTAGTGGCAGCTCTGGGGATGCTGCTGGTGTGTGTACCGCTGCTGATAATCTACTACCGGTGAGAGACAACCTTTTTTTGAGGATGTCATCAGGGGTTTAACTTGACTGGTGACCAGGCTGGCAGCACATTTAAGCAGTATAGCCATGGCCACCTCAGAACATTGCTAAATATCACCATGAAATGAAAGACTTTAATATAAAATTATAATAAATGACTCGATATTGTTGTGTGTGTTACTTTTAGGAAAGGAAAAGTCATCTCTTCCTCGGACAAGGGAAAGGCGGAGACATGCAACCCTGTAGTTACTAATGCGGTGAGTTCATGTTTGCACATATCGGCAGATGCATTAAAACAGGAAGCTTCACTTACCCAACAAAATGTACTTTTTGCTTTTAAAACAGCGGTGAAAGGTGTCTCAAAAAGTAATTATATACTATGTCAAAAAGGCATTGTATGGTATGTTTAAAAACATATATTTTTGAAACTCATGATATAGTATGCTCTACAAAGTCATTGTCATCTATATAATGCCTTCAAAAGTATTTGTTTTGCATGCCATGATGAATAATCAGAGTCAGTAATCAGTAAAGCATGCAGAACAAAGTGCTTTAGAACATGGTTCATATGAATAAAAACTGAAATATAATGCAAAGATAATAAAAAATAAGAAGTTAGTAAAACACAATAGATAAAAGTGAAAGTAAATAAAAAGCTAACATGAGATGAAAAAATGAAACCTAATTAATAAACATACTAATCATAATAATATGAAAAAAGAGCACCAAAGGTCATAAGTCCAACTTTATTTTGTGGAAAAGAAGAAAGAAGTCCGTCAGGTATGCCATACAAATGTAAAAAGTTGCATTATAGTATGTTATAAAAGTATTTCAGAATTAAGTCTCATATAAATGTTTTAATTGATAATATAGTATGCCATGAAAAATGTGTAAAATGTCATAGTATTTTGTTCTAAAATAAATTCACTGTATAGTATTTCCACATCAAGGTCAAAGTCAAAGTCAACTTTATTGTCAATCTCAAAATATGTTTGTACACACAGAAAGATCGAAATACTGTTTCCCACAGTGCCGAGTTATAAAAAACTCACACATTTAAATGCCAGAACACTCAATAATTTACAAAAATAAATAAATAAATAAATAACCGTTTACTTCAGTAAGCAGGATATATATAAAAAAAGATGATTTACATAGTGCAAATGGGAGTGCAAAATTGTCCATAGCAGCGTAAAAGTGACTGTATATATATGTAAAAATAAAACATAGTATAATATGCCATAAAGACAACTCATAATTTGGTATGATACACAATGGAATTTAATTTAAAAAAAAGTGGGTCATAGAATGTCACAAACATCATGGTATGGTATTTAAAAAAAGGAAGCAATGAACGGCTGGTTTATTGGCAAACGAGCTTATTTCCCAAAAGTGTTCTGTTCAACAATGGGCCTTATTGTGCACTACTACCTCCTTTGCTACATCACTAAAGTAACTCTTTTGTTTTCTGTAGATCAACTCTTCAAAAGTGGATGTGATTTATGCTAATAAAGCTTTTTTGGAAGAGAAAGAAGTAGCTGAGGAGGAACTCCATTACGTCAATGTGGACTTTGCTAAACTGCAGGCCCATTCAAAGGGTAAGCCTGGGGAAGGGGAGATTAGAGGCCTGGACTCAAAGACGGAGTATGCTGAGATCCGTCTGCAGTCCAGAGGAAGCATCGGAGGAGATGCAGAGGAAGAAGAGAACGTTTCTGACACTCAATTGGAACAAGAGAAGACACCTTAGTCTCATAGACCTTGAGGTGAAATGTTTATGGCTGACGTTTAAGGGAAATGTTAGTGAAACACAGCAATGTGCGCTTCAAACTGCTACAGGACTTCACCATACAAGCAGATCCCCGCTGAGATAAAACTGCAGAAGCGGTAGTAGAAACTGCTCTGCATGCAACCTATTTAAAACGTAGTCACACTTGTTGCTTCAAGTTTAGTTCTGGACTTTTGTAACTGTACCCCTTTTTTTGTGTCCATAAGATGCATAGCAAAAGAAAATCACTATAAAATGAATACATACTGTATAGCAGGTAGTTACCCTGGAATTTCCTCCTTTGAAATCATGACTTTTACTATATTTAATATTTGAATGCTATTTTGTCTTCCTGATTTTACATTAAAAACCTTTGCAATGCGTGAAAGAAGCAGCTGGACATAGCTTGTCACACTTTATAGATTTTTTTTTTCTCCGAAATACAAAAACAAAGACATTTTGTTGGCAGTTATACAACAGCGGAATTCAAAACCCTTCCCTTCAAAGCCTGTGCTTGGGTTGGCACTGGTCTCTCCTAGACCTACACATAGCAGTCACTATGTACTGTAGTATATTCCCCTCAAAGTTGCAGGGTTTAAGGGGAATGGCTTTTGGGGCTGTTCCCTGGCCTTCACATAGCAGCCAGTTTCACTAGGTCGTACATTCCCCTCAAATCCTGTTTAAGGGGAATGGCCACGTGGCAGCTTCGCCAGGCCCTCAACTTATCAGACTAACATCACCAGCGTCAGGCTCTCAGTTCACACAGTTTTGGGGGATGGGTATCCAATCTCCATGCAGTGTTGGGGGATAGTTATCTAATCATCACTCAATGTTCTATGTATATCTGTGGAGTGATGAGGCACGAGCCTAGACGCCAAACAAAAATGATATGCTTCTTCTAATAAACATATCAAGAAACAAGTGAGTTATCTGACTGATATGGGGCGAAGCCTGCGAGCTAGTTCAGGCAGTCAACTCGCCAATGATACATTAACACGTGACTCGCCTCGTCCCTCTTCAACCCTGTCTCCTAGAAATTACGTTCCCACAAAACTAAACTGCATTCTCAAATACGTTTCGCAAGAAACGTATTTCCTTCCACGTTACGTTTGTTATGAACATATCTTAAATACGTTTATTTTCTACATATCTTCTAGAAACCTATTTTCTCTCATATGACGTTTGTTATGAACGTATCTTAAATACGTTTGCTTTCTACCTATATTTGCCATTTCTTTTCTAGCTTATAATAATGATAATAGTCATTTATTAATATCATTTTAGAGCAAACTTATTTTCGCGCTGGCTGGCGGCTGACTTTTCAGTTGACCAAATCCGTTATTATGCTGGTTAATGCTTAATAATCACAATATTGTTTGTAGTCGTTTCATACAGCATTCTCAATTACGTTTAACAAGAAACGTCTTTTGTCCCACGTTACGTTTGTTCTGAACATATCTTAAATACGTTTGCTTTCTACCTATATTTGCCATTTCTTTTCTAGCTTATAATAATGATAATAGTCATTTATTAATATCATTTTAGAGCAAACTTATTTTCGCGCTGGCTGGCGGCTGACTTTTCAGTTGACCAAATCCGTTATTATGCTGGTTAATGCTTAATAATCACAATATTGTTTGTAGTCGTTTCATACAGCATTCTCAATTACGTTTAACAAGAAACGTCTTTTGTCCCACGTTACGTTTGTTCTGAACATATCTTAAATACGTTTGCTTTCTACCTATCTTTGACATTTCTTTTCTAGCTTATAATAATGATAATAGTCATTTATTAATATCATTTTAGAGCACACATTTGAAATCGACGATCGGGCTTGATATCCTATGGTTAAATTAAAATCAGTAGGCGAGGCTGTAATTTCGCCAGCTGCGAGGCAGAGTTTTAACATGCCAAAAAGCTGCTGTGTCGTTTATTGCACCTCAAACACCTCAAACTTCCTCTAAGGACAGCAGAAGAGCTCTGTGGCTTCAGGCTTGATCACCGTTCAAATGACAGCGTTGGTTTCCCCAAAAGTGGGTGGGGCTGTGACGTAGATTTTACTCTCATCTATTATTCAAAACCATTCTATTTAATCCAAACGTAAATTACATGCCAGTGTTTTATCTTTTTATTAAGCGATTTGTTTATGTTATTTAACTCATAGATATATATAAACATATGTTTTTATATATATCTATGGTTTAACTGGGAATGTTTTCACATTGAACCGGAAGTACGTCACTTCACTTTGTCTTCTTCGTCCCTTTTACGTTCCAGACAATGCATGGCTCAGCGTAACAGACTGAACAGCGACCCCAGGTGTGTCTACATTGGAATTACATCTTCATTACTGAAGGAAAAATACTTTACCTTGTGTTTGTTAACTGGGTTTTTAATGCAGTTGGCTTTTCTTAATGGTTACAATATTGCTATGAGTTACAGTATATATCTGAAGCAAATTATGTTTCTGAAGATGTGTAGTCAATTCCACCCTTCAATGTAGCATAAATGTGAACTTTCATTACAGGAACAATACCGGAAACAGACGTAGGAAAGATCCTCAGCTCGCTGATTGGATGTTTTAGCCGCAATGCACGTTGGGATATGGTGTTTATGCGATGTGAAATCCGAAAACATAAAAAAAAATAATAATAATACTTTATTCCGAGTGTTCTTGCTTTTCTCTTTGAAAGTCATCACATAACGGCATTGTAATACATGGTTCGGCTGCATTAAATATTACACATCTGCCATAGTTCTTTATTTATAGAGCCCTGATGAGAAGACTTCTGGACAAACAGGAAGAACTGCCGCCGAAACTGAATACGTGACGTGGATCATAAATATATCAACAATTAAACAACATCTTACATTTCTTTTCACAAAATACGTCTCCTTGCAGTATCAATACTAATACGGCTGACTTTTATATTTGATCCAATTGGTAGATAGGTTATATTTACACCATAACGGTGCACAGCTGATAGAAAAGGACTTGTAGTTTTTAAAGATATTACTGATTTTCTTTGAATATAAGAATGTAAATACTGAGTTGAGAGAATAGTCAGGGGATTTGGGTGATGGGAGACACATCTATGGAATCACAATTTCAATAGCTTACCATTAAATGACGGATATACCTTTCTGTCTGTGATGTTTTACAAATCAGATATTAATGTGTAGAAGTAAAACATGAGAAATAATATAGCAATATCCTGTACAATTATGTAAAAACATGAATAAAACTACACATCTTCAGATGTTATACATACATAAGTGTCCTACACTAACAAAGTTATTATTAGTATGCTGTGTGTACCTTGTGTGCACCGCCTAGTGGTTAAAGCATGTTATTTAATTATTTTTGTTGAATAATGTTATTTTTGTTGAATAATGTTATTTGATGAATAAAATATTAAGAGTACATACTTTCATAGGGGGAAAGTAGAAGGTCAATGATAGAAATATAGAATATAAAAAATCAAGAAGATACTGTAAGTGATCTCTACAATAAAACAGTTTAGTGCCTGATATTAATATGAGGATGTGCAAAACAGACAAACTAATTAACCTTTATTAACACATTAAAGAACACTTTAGGTTTTCTTTCAAATAAGAAAAAAGCTTTGGGGGTATCTATCTACAGATAAATGTTAAGCCTGACAAAGTACTTAACGTCTAATATATTGCTTTCCTGCAATGTTAACTGTGTTGAAGCACTTATTTTAACTGATATTATATATATATTAATTATACTCTTATGTATGTAGATAGTATAAGACATGTGCAGAATTTGAGTTTAATGGTGGAGGAATACACACATATTGATAGATGTCTTGTAATGCACTGTTGAGGAACCTGTGACCCAAGTTTTTCATTAATTGCATAACTTCAACATCGTGGTGTATATGATATGTCAATAAACCTTAGAAAATCTTGAAAGGGATGTGCAAAATAGCTATTATATACAGTCTTTAATTAACTATTAGTAGAGAATAACGAGTAATGAATATACTTTATAGAGATCTGCAGATAAATGTTTAGTCTTCTCAAGCACCAACTAATATCTCTCCTGATTGTTGGCACTTGACAATCACCTTCCCTGAATTTTACTCAGGTGTAACTAAAGTCTGCTTTAAGGGTTGTTTATATTTCACATCATTAATCAGAATCTGCAAAGTAACTAAAATAAATGTAGTGGAGTAAAAATACCAGGTTAACCTCTGAATTGTAGTGGAGTAGAATTACAAAGTAACAATGAGCTGGCATGTGGGTATATATTAATGCTTCCCATTATGGACACAAGCGATTTTCACCCATTTATTAATTACATGTTTTACATTTGTACACACCAATTTGTTTCCTATCCCCTAAACCTCCAGGGCTGTACACAGTTTAATACAATCAACTTCTAATTTTGGGAAAAACGAAAACGTCTTTTAAAACTACAATTCCCAGTAGAGACGCTATAGAACATGTTGCGAAACACAATAGCCAGCATCTGTAGTTCTGGGGGGGCGTTCGAGTCCAGTTTTGGAAAGTCTGCCGTGGTTTCGTTCCATTTCAAAGAGCTGTTTGGCGCTCGGCGTAACCTTGGCGCACTGCCACTCCAACATCCAATCCCAGAGCTTGAAGATTAATCACGGGGTTTGTCAACGGGACTGTAGTCCCAAACGATAGCTGGGGATTATGGGTAGTGTAGTGTCTTCGGCCATCCTAAATTCAGATTTTTTTTCGGATTTCATATCGCATTAACACCATATCCCGACGTGCATTGCGGCTAAAACATCCAATCAGCGAGCTGAGGATCTTTCCTACGTCACTTTACAGCCCTGCCCACTTTTGGGGAAACCAGCTGTCATTTGAACGGCGATCAGCCTGAAGCCACAGAGCTCTTCTGTTGTATACTGTCCTTTCTTCTTAGAGGAAGAAACACGTAACTCTGGATTTGTTTTAATGTTTGAGGTGCAATAAACGACACAGCAGCTTTTTGGCATGTTAAAACTATTATTTTCTGCCTCGCAGCTGGCGAAATTACAGCCTCGCCTACTGATTTTAATTGAACCATAGGATATCAAGCCAGATCGTCGATTTCAAATGTGTGCTCTGAAATGATATTTATAAATGACTATTATCATTATTATAAGCTAGAAAAGAAATGTCAAAAATAGGTAGAAAGCAAACGTATTTAAGATATGTTCAGAACAAACATAACGTGGGACAAAAGACGTTTCTTGTTAAACGTAATTGAGAATGCTGTATGAAACGACTACAAACAATATTGTGATTATTAAGCATTAACCAGCATAATAAGGGATTTGGTCAACTGAAAAGTCAGCCGCCAGCCAGCGCGAAAATAAGTTTGCTCTAAAATGATATTAATAAATGACTATTATCATTATTATAAGCTAGAAAAGAAATGGCAAATATAGGTAGAAAGCAAACGTATTTAAGATACGTTCATAACTAACGTCATATGAGAGAAAATAGGTTTCTAGAAGATATGTAGAAAATAAACGTATTTAAGATATGTTCATAACAAATGTAACGTGGAAGGAAATACGTTTCTTGCGAAACGTATTTGAGAATGCAGTTTAGTTTTGTGGGAACGTAATTTCTAGGAGACAGGGTTGTTACCGCTGCTTCTAATATACTACCGGTAAGAGACAACTCGTTTTTTTCAAAGCTACTATAAAAAACATTTTTAATGCATTTTGAGGTGGTCATCAGGGGGTTAACTCTACTGGGGACCAGGCAGGCAGCAAATGTATGTAGTGCAACCATGGCCGCCTCCAAAAATGGCTAAATATCTCAGAAAAAAAAAAAATGAAAGACTTTATTAGAAAATTATAATAAATGACTCCTTTGCAATTTATTTGTGTTTGTCGTAGGAAAGGAAAAGTCATCTCTTCCTCCGACAAGGGAAAGGCGGAGACTTGCAACCCTATAATTACTAATGCGGTGAGTTTATGTATTGCACACATTGGCAGGAAGCTTCACATACCCAAC